GGATCAAAGGATCAAAGCATGTAACCTATTCCTTTGCATAAGAATAAGAGCATGTAGGTAGAATGTCGATTATTGGAGAAGACGAACAGAAAAGAGAGCATAACATGTCAAAAAGAAAAAAATTATAAAAGGAGAATCACACACTTATTTCCCGCCGCCAAGGATATTTGAGTGCCCAAGAATGCAGCATTGAAATCATGCAGGGGTAGACAAAAAATATAGAGGCCTATTTAGCAAATCTGAAACCCTATACTTGACTTCAAAGACTTGGTAAACAAAAGTGACGATGAAGAAGAGATAAATTTTATTGCACACCATGACTCAATGTTGAAAAGAGAAACAAGTAGACAGGGTAGATGCTGCCCGATGAATAAAAAATGAATCTATGTTTCTAGATCAATGCAGATTTTTTAATAAACTATGCAAATGTGACAATCACAATGCAGAGGTGCGAGAAGATGCCTACTCCTGGGAATAAAAGAGCTTCTTTTTTTTTTATTATTATTTCCTTGAAAAGAGGCAACAAAAACATTAGCAAGAATAATGAAAAAACGCAATAAAGAACAAGGATATAGAAATTGTCTCAATGTGTACTTTCGGGAGAATGATGTATCCGACTTAAAATTACCGACTCAGACTCATTTGATCCAGGCATTATTAAGGTCCCAGATACCTTAGAAGAACCATCTGATAAAAATAAAGAACCACTAATTGCATGATCAAAAGCCTGCCTCTCCTGGGGACAGTTGACAGAAGAATCAACTTCCATGTTATTTAGGCATTCACCGTCAGTGAGCAAAACAGCAGCCTGCGATGCATTATCTCTGCCTACATCGTCCACAACCATCTGTTCGGACTCAACTTCATCCATCTTGTCACCACTCAAAACAGGTTTAGGCTCCTCTAGGCTCTCATTAACAGTAGCTGGATTTGGCAACTCCAGTTTCTTCTGAGAAGGGCTCTCTGGATGATCTTGAGTCTCCTCATCCTGAACTGAAGCTGGCACTATCAAACTTTGCTGAGAAGCAACGGGTGAAATGGCACCTGCTTTCTTCTGATCTGAATTTGGTGTTGCTGCATCCAGCATTTCTGCATCAGATATCATAGCAACCTCCGGTGCTGTTTCCAAATTGTAAAGGGAACCTTTCTCCTCCCTTTGCTCCAGATTGGATGCTGAAACAAAATCTGACTGACTTTTAACAGGTGGCAAACCAGTCATCTCTACCCTATGCCTCTTGTAGAGATCCAAAGCTTTCTGCAAGATGGGAAAACACCAGCCATAATCAGTTCAGTGTCAACAGTTCCCAAAAAATGTGACAGGAAAAATTTAATAGGAAAAAAAAAATTTACTAGCCTCAATCTTCTGAAAAGAGTTTATTCAAGATGTAAGGGTTAGACAACAGTGGACGAGATGAAGACTGCAACCCTCTAAAAATGAGATGCACGTTTATTAAAAAGAATCAATTTTTCAAAGATCCTAAAGATGAGCATTCTTATAAAAAATTTTCTTCATTTTTTTTAACCAAATCATAAGGATCAAAATTTAATTCACTTGGCTAAGTTTACAAACCATGCTCTTCTACCTTTTTGTATAAAAACTGATTACCCCTTCAGACACAAGATAAATTAAGGAACAGAAAAGAAAACTATGACTGAAGAATCTTAAAACCAAGCACAATAGGCATTAGCTCATTACAAGCAACAATCATAAGCCCCATAAATTAGCCAACACAAGCATGATGATACAAGCTTCCCAGTAAAGAATTTTCCTTTTTGAAATTCGCTATCTAGTTAAGAAAGACAGCCAAGGAATTAAGGATCTATCAAACCACAACAAACAACAAACATGAAAAAGGACATAATTGACACTGGACTGGAAACAATAGGACCAACTAAGAGCCCAAAAGAATTTAAAAGTTACAATCAGGTCCAATTAAATCACAGCATGCCCAAGCAGTTTTAAGTAATGAATTTTATCTATCAGAAATGTGAAAGGACTATTAAATGTGTATATAAACAACACATCCCTAAAAATGATTGGGTGATAATATTCCTCAGTTATGTAACTACCTTAAAGACAGAATTGTTTGCTGGAGGAATAAGTGATGGATTTGAAAAGGCAATAGAAGATTTTACTACAGCTCGTCCGCCAGCCTGTCAAAATACCAAAATAGAAAATAGTTACATTACAAAACCCATTAGATCAGTTATTAAAAGGCAAAGTCAGCCAGCTAGATATAGAATCTTTACCCTCAAATTTACAGGCATAGCTGCATCTTTAACCAAGGGTTCACTCTTCTCCCCATTGAGTACGCTCATACACTGGGCATACAACTCTGAACCAGCAAGTTCTGTTGAAATGTCAATCTTAGAAAGATAAACATGGCAAAAGTGGTCACTATTGTCGTCACTAGATATTTTAGAAGAATTGGATGTCAGCTCAGGTGAAATCTCAGGTGGAGATTTAGAAGGTTCTTTTGCTGGAGATGAGATACTGGATCTAATTTCATGGTTTTTCACCTGACCATTCTGGTCATTTTCATATTGACACTTCTGAACATCCTGTCCATTAAAAACATCATCAATGGGGGCATGCACAGCATTATCCTCTTTATGGGATGAAGAAGACAAGTCAACATCACCATTTTGTCCTTTCCACACATCTGAATTGGGATCCCACCCCCGACCATTCATGGGATGCCTATTGTGTTCCCACTCAGGCCCTCCATACATGTGTGGTTCGTCCCTAAAAACATTATTTCCATCCCAACCATGCAAATGGGATGGCCCAGAGCCATCCATCATATTTGGCCAGCCAATTGGCCGCATATGACCAGAAAACCTTTCAGCATCAGGGATGTGAAATGGAATCCCTGCATGATTAATGTCCATTGAGGCTCTGACACTGAACAGTGAGGGAGAGGGAAATGGTGGCATCATAGGTTGGAAGCCACCATGAGGTGGACCATGTTGAAATGGGATGAAGCCATTTGGAACTGGTGCAGCCCAGTTTGGGGCACCCCTCCAAGCATTTCCTTGCCCTCTGCCAACATTAGGATCACCACTTCTTTTGTAACGAGCACTAATGTTTATTCTGTTATCTTCTTCAATGGATCCCATAAAAGAGGGGCTGCCATGTCCAGGCCTAAAAGCAGGAGGGGGATGATTCATAGATGAGTTGCTCTTGTTATAGAAGGCTGGATCCTGAGAGGACTCATCCAAATAAGGCTTCTCAAACGGTAATTCCCGATTTGATCTGTCTTCAACAGAAGCACTGCCCCTCCACCCTGTTTCTTCAACGTCAACACTCCACCTACCACCAGCTCTTGTGGATCGACGCTCAAAACTTGTTGAAGAAGGGGATCTTTCAATCAAACTAACAGGGGAGGCTTTAGAACTTGATGACAGCTCAGTTGGCAACTCCCCCATATGATCGTCAACTTTACTAGATTTCTCCATAGTTCTATACTTAGATCCTCTCTCTGATGATCCAGAAAAACCAGTAACCTCTCTTGCAGATCCTTTGGACCTCTGTTCGGCACCAGGGTCCCTATACTTCAGATCTTCCGGTTTCACATGCCTGAAAGAAAAAACAAATATTATATTATACTCATTACAGAATGCAGCAGGCTAGAGAGCTGCATTATAAGAATACAGGGTCAGATTTGAGAATATAAGGCAAAAAACTGGAGAGAAAAAAAAAAAGAAAAAAAAAAGAGCATTTTGTTGTCCAGCACTGAAGTCAGGTAACACACAACCTAGCATACTCTCCACAAATTAAAAAGAGCTGCAACATTTTTTTTTTTTGAGGAGGCAGTCCCAAAAGGAACATAAAAGGAATGACCTGTAATCATCAGTGCCAGCAAGGGAACTGGAGCTGGGGGAAGTCCTCCTTTTGTTGCCACCTACAACAGCATCAAAATGAGCTTGACGGGACATAGACCTTCCCCTATCAGCATCTGATTCAAGTCTACTACTGCTCAAAGATTTAGTTTCCATTTCAGAAAATTGAGATTTGACACCTTTGGCTTTAGTATCATAAATATCATCATGGTCATCTGGAGATCTCTTCCTTCCTCTGCTGTCTTTATGTCGAGCATTACGGTCATCAAGATAAGACCCATCATACTCAACATCTCGATCTCGGTCACGATCTCTGTCCCTGTCATTCTCACGACGATCACGGTAACGGTCACGGTCACGGTCATGGTGACGCTCTCGATCCCTATCTCGGTCCCGGTCCCACTCCAAGTCTCTATCCCAATCACGATCAGAATCACGATCCCTGTTGCGCTCACGTTCTCGGTAATAATCACGGTCTCGGTGACGGTCACGATCACGGTCATGACCTATATCAACATCATGATCACGGTCCCTATCCCTATCAAGTTCACGCTCTCTATCACGATCACGCTCTTTGTCACGGTCATGCTCGCGATCACTATCTTGAGTCTTATATTTCTTCTGTCGAATTTCAGTAGCATCCTTATCATCTCTTGAATGCTTATCACTAGACCTGCCAATGGTGCGATCTCTCACAAGCCGCTCATCTCTCAATTTGTCATCTCGGTACCTCTCTTCTCTGTCAGTGTCTTCTCGATACTTATCTCTATATTTTTCATCCTTGTACTTCTCATCCTTCAGTCTCCCATCCCTGCAAATATCATTCCTCAAAGACAACTGCCTATCAAGGGTGTCTCCATCATCTTCCTGATGCTTGTCCATATCTCCAGGACCATCTCTCTTTCTCCTAACTCGCCTCTCAAGTTGACTCTCTGATTCAGGACTTTGCAACTGGTCCTGTGCATCCAACTCTGCAGCAAGAAAATGATAAAGATTTAAGAACGGAGTACTTCTATTTCCTGAAGAACTCATTAAGCAAGATACAAAACTAACTTAACAAAATATATATCATTCAAAGAAAGCAATTTATCAAAGAATCTATTGAAGAAGAGGAAAAACGGAATAAAGAGAGAAATATTCAGCTGCAATGAAATAAGTCATAATGGCATATTTAATTGAAGTATTTTTAAAATGTAGGTGTACAGAGCCATAATCTTGAATTTCATATTATCAATCTCTATAAACCCCAATTTAACTGCCAATAGAAGCATTTATTGATGATCAGATTCTTATAATTTATTGGTCAGTGCAATATTCATAATATAAACCTTATGTAACAAGAACAAAGAAAATTAACCTAACTTTATTAACAAGGACATGAATTTGACAAGCATGCCAAAAATAAATGAAGAGCTGACACAATAGGGAAATAACATCAGATATAAACATTCGGATATTTTCAAAGATCACTTCAGGAACCACAGGGTATAACATAGATATCAATATCAAGTGGTCTAAGGTGGTGGAACAAGTTCAAAATTTTATAATGCTTAAGGTTCTTTGATACTGAATGAAAGAGCATCATGTTAAGATGCAATGACAAAACCTTCATAATGGCTTAAAAAGCAATCCCCTAAATGCAATTACTTCCCATCAATTTCAAAAACATCAATCACAACAAATTCAGCAGCCAACTCTGAGTCTGACTTATTCTGATCAAAAATGTTCTTCCCACTTTCACGTCAAATTCATGCAACTTTCAGAGTGCCTAAATCATCCCCAACTCAACATCCTAAAATCAGGTTTCAAATTTGTACTTCATAGGAAAGAAAAATCCCATTTTTCCAAACTGATCTAATAAGCTTTTCTTCAGTCCAAAAGTAGCTAAGCAGAGAAAAATTACTCAATCCATTCCTGAACCATTCAGCTAGTAACAATTATATAATATAATTAAGATATAGATGTTGCGAAATAAAATATGTAATAAATAAAACATAAAAATGTAATTTATGATTCATTTCAACAACAAACTAAATTTAATTTCATTTGAAATGCAAAACCATGATTTTACTTTTAACACAGACATTGCTTTCTTCAAAAACTTATTGAATAAAAAACACTAGCATCCAGATGCAATTATAAATTTTAAACATTTTAATTCAATGATTTTACAATAGTTTCAACCTATGCGAGGACCAAAAAGTTCAGTACCTTTCATCCTTTCAATTAAAAAGCAACAGGCAACATTATGCATGATCTTAGTGCCACAAAAGGCCAGCACAAATTACATGATGAACAAGTTTCTTAAAACAATTAAGCCTCAATAGACAAGGTAAAATGACGTATGTTAAATGAAAAATAAAAGTAGGCTACAGTTCTCTTAAGAAAGGAATACTGTAACAACTATCAAAAGGATCAATTGTGTTCAGCAAAGCCCCACAGATAAAACCAAAATCAAAGCAGAACTGCATCATGAACTTAAAACTCAAATTTTATCAAAATTAATACCGCAAATAAAATTTTTCTGCACAAATATATCCGGGCAAGACTTAAAATTCTGGACTGCATGATCCTGAAGCATATAAGTATATGTAAAGTGGGAACCGATGCAACCAAAATAGAAAGATATGGCCAGAACACACATCAACTTTGCAAACACATGGAAATCATTTGAAAAAGGTTCCAATCAAATCACAATGAAATGGTAACAAAGAGAGGTTCATGGCTAGACAGTTTTAACTTTCTTGCACTATTTACCCTAAACGTAAAAACAAAGCCCATCACTCTTGAACATGGCATAGGGCAGAGTAATCAATGTCAAGGTACAAAAATATATATAAAATTGAACCACTAAAACAATAGGGAGAGAGGTGCTTGCTTGCCAACACTGTAACACACAGTAGCCACTGAACTTTTCAAACTACCTCCAAAAACCTACATTTCTAACCAGTCAACCACTAACAGAAACCACAATAATAATAAATGAATCACAACATATACTAAATAGCACACACAGAATGAGTCAGGCATATTAGCTGATTACTAAGTACTAACTAACAAGTCAATGAGTTACCTTACCAGCTTTTTCAGCGGCCTGTTTTGCGGCACGATATTCTTCACCATCAAGAAACCTCTCAGCCTTTCCATCTTTAACCTTCCTATCCCTCTCCTTCTCCCTCTCCCTCTCATCCCTTCTACTAGATTCTCTATGCTTCCCCTCACTCTTACTCTTCTTCAAATCATCTCCTTCCAACTCTTCCCGCCTCTTACTCTTTGATTCACTTGACACCTTTGACTTCTTTTCTCCTCTACCATCATCATCACCACCATTCCACCTGTCACTTACTCCATCGTCAACCCTCTCTTTGCGCCGCTTCGAGGAACTGTAATCCTCCAAATACTCTCCATTTCCAGAACCAAGCGGGTCCTTACTACCATCTTTCGAATCAAGCTTCCGCTTCTCCCCAGATCCTGACTCCTTGAAAACCTTTCCGCTACTCTCCTCTTTAGGTTTTCTTTCTTTCTCTTTCAAACTCGAATCTCTCTCCGAATCCGAATAGTCCCGAACATCCTTCGAACTATGCTTGCCCGATTTGTGCCGCGAACTTTTCGGCATCACAGGAGCGAACGAGAACAACCCAAAAACCCTAGCCGGAAAATCAAACACAACAGCAAAACCCTATCCCAGAATCAACACTCCAAATTGCAAAACCCTAATTTCCAATCCTCAGAGAAACCAGCGCACCAAATCGAAGACTGAAACTCCCAAGTAACAAACCCGAACAACGATTTAAGAGCGAAGACGAATACAGAAACAGAGAAACCCTAATTTTCGATCCCTAAGATTAAGAATAAAGATATGAAGGTGTTACTATAAGTTAGGAAACCCACAACAGTAGGCGGTGGCCGGAGAGAAGAGATCGGAAGAGGCGGGCGGACGAGGGGTGGTAGTAAGATTTTGGGATCGAAAATGCGGGGAGGGGCAGCGAGCGAGAGAGAGAGAGAGAGTGTTGAAGAAGGAAGATGAGGTCTTTTAGTTTATGAAGGGATATATGTGGAAGATCAGGTGATGTTGGAGAGCAAAGGAAAACGAATTTGCCTTTGTGCTGAGGCTTTTTGGATTTCTGGTTTTCCCTTTTTTTTTCTTGTAGTAATTAGACCCCGAGGACTTGTGATTTCTTGTTGTTTGGCAATAATGTTCCTTAACTTTTCTTATCTTATTACTTGAGTCCTTTAAAAACGGAAAATATCATGTAGGAGAGAATGGGGACTGCATTTTGATGGCCATTATCATGTGGACCCTATATATGATCGATGGCTGATATATTTTCATCTTAAATTTTGGTCGCAATTTTTGGTCCCCTCAATTAGTCATTTTTTAAATATATATATATATATCAAATAATACAAACAATACATGTTCACTCTTGTAATGTCAAACAATTAACTTCTTTGATGTAGTAAGGAAAAATATGTGAATTTGTTTTGTTTTATTTTCAATATTTGAAAACATAAAATATGTTTTGTAATTCTAATGAAAATTAAAATCTATAGTAAAATATGGTAATTACTATTTTCCAATATGGTAATTAGAATCTAGTAAGAAAAGTTTGCCGCTGGCATTCTCTTTCTCCTTAATATTTGCCTTATTTGTCTTAGTAGATAAAATTTTGGGGGTCAACCACCTAATTAATTTAATAGTAAATTTTTTTGGATGAAAATAAAAGACTTTGAGTTTAATTTATATAATATGTAAGTAAAGTGAATTAAAATATGGATAAAGTAAGTTAAAGATAAGAAAGAATTATTTTTTGTTGTGCAATTCAAAAGTTTAAAATAAATAAATAAAAAGTTTTGCCTTCTTTTGGCATTAAAATCAAATGACACATAACAACTGATTGAGATATAAACTTATTAATTCACTAATCTATTGAACTAATAGTAAAAAAATGAACATGTTTTATAAATATAAAATAGTATAGAAAGAAAACAATATAAATTACAAATGCAATTATAATTAAAACTAAGTTCACTAAAGCAGTGTACGTTCTTTTTTCACTTTTGATGTAGATAACTAAAGTGGTGTTAAAATTTTTAAAAAAAATTACGCTTGAAATTACTAAATATAGGTACAAATTGATTCTATTTAAAATGTCCACAACCACAAGAGAATACCTGATGGATTCTCCCTATTTTACCTTTTTGAATGTTTTCTTTTGGTATCTACAAATAAAAAAGTAAATATGTTTTAAATATTATAAAAAGAATTAAATCCACTTACACATATTACTTATATAATATTTTAATTATTTTTTAATAAATAATTATAATTTTATTTATTTTCTATTAATTTTTTTTAATAATTATTTTTAAAAAAAAAATCATAATAAATCTTATAATTTATAAAATAAATTATTAAAATTTTATATAAAAAATATAAAACTTATATTTAAATAGATCATTAACTCATACAATAATCATTGAACTTTACTATGCTCCCATTTGGACTTGATTTTTTTTTGTTATTATTATTATTTTTATCTTAGTTGTACAATAAGAACCAACCATCTCTCATCACTTATCCCATTTTACTTGTATGCCATATAAGTCAAATTCAAGATCTCTTATTTTCAATAAAAAAAATAACGACTGAGTTACTTAGATCATTAGTTTTTCTTTTGTTATTAAAAGCATGCATAATAGAAAATAATAAGAAAACTTACTTTGGTATCAAATTATTATTACAATTAATATTATTTTATATAAAATTATATTTTTTTAATATTTGCCCTCAAATACAGAGAATTTTTTTGTAAAGTAACATTAATATTATTTTATTTTATTTTACATATGCCAATGAAATTTTTTAAATTAAATCTTTCCTTTATAGAAAGAAAAAGGTGAAAGCGTTTGATCCAATAGCAAAAAAGTTGCAGCGGTAGGCGCTGCACTGTTGTTCAGGCTCTCTTGCTTTGGCTTTGGTTTACCTGCAAACCCCCGAGTGAAGTTGTCAAAATTGAGAGTTTACCGTAAAATTATTTTAGTATGGTAAAATTAGAATCATAAAATTAAATTAGTAAAATTAAGAGTTTATTAAATTTAATATATAACATATAATAAATTATACAAAATTAAAATTAAACACCAATAAATCAATTTTAGAATTGAAAACTTGAAATTGATTAATTAAAATCTAAATATTCAATAACACAAACAAATAAACCAGTTTAATGTAAGTCATTAGTTAAACACTTAAACTAACTACAAATAAAATTAAATAACATAAAAATAATCATCATTTAAACTTATTTAGATAAACTAAAATAAACCGCGAATACTATATTCATCCCTCCTCTACGGCAAACCCTAAAGTAAAAAAGATTAGAGGTCAAATTTATGTTTCTGAATTTCTGGAAGCTTCTTTAATCTTCATTTGTTGTCTTGTGGGTTCGTGGGCATTTCAAATGACAAATGAGTTTAATTTAAGGACTATAAAGTCAAAACCCATTAGTCCAAGATGGGAAGCTACAAAAGGAAATAATTTAGTTGCCTATCTGAAAGTAAGAACGTGATTTCAAATGATTTTATCTTAAATTTGTGATCTTATGATTTTGCCACCTAATTTTATAAAATTTCAATTTTAACATAAATTTTACTTGAAATGTATACTTAGAATTGTAAAATGATACGATTTTACGATTTAAAACGCGATTTTGGCAACTTTACCTCCAAGAGCATGTACAATAAAAAAAAAATAAGTAAATTTATTTTGGTATCATGTTATAATAATTAAAATTATTTATATAAAATTATATATAATTATATTTTTTTATATATTTAATTGTCAGATAAAAACACTTAATAGAACATATCTTTTTTAATACATAGAAGCTTATTTAGAAGTCACACTAATATTAATTTATTCAACTTATATTTTATATATTCAAATAAAAAAATTGAATTGAAAATTAAAAGAAAGAAAGAAAGAAAGAAAGAAAGAAACCTTCTATCCATCTGCTTATGCTGACTACAACACTTTTATGCTCAAAAAATTGTAACCTAGAGAACAAGTTTGGTTTGAGAACTCATCTCTTGTGGAATAGAGTTCTATCTCTGTTCTTTCTTGAGAAATGAATAATGAGAGAGAACAGTACCGTAAAATATTAAATTTCACTATTATATATAATACAATAAATATATTTATATAAATAATCAATGAAATTCACCTTTATCCATCTATATTAGTAAGAGTTCACATCATTTCTCAACCTTTAACTAGCCCCCTTCAGAAAGGACATCAAGAAGAGAAAAGCAAACAAAGTTTTCACAAGAGAAAAGAAAACCACATCCAATGATGGGAGAAAAATTCACCTTTAAAACCTCTAGGGGATTACATGAAGAAGAGACTTTTCAGTTTAGAATGATTTGAAAGAAATTCACTTATATATTTTAAAAGGGTAACTTGAATTAAAAACTTAAAAATTTTACATCTGAGCTTTGAGTAAAGCGAAAAAAAGTTAAAAAAAAAGAGAAAATTTTTCCATCTTATATAACTTATAATCAAAGGAAAAATCTGTGGGAAACCTCTTCCCCAATTACATACATTTAAAAGTTTTAGCCTCATTTTCTGTAAGTGGGTTGAAATATTCAAGTTGTAAGGTGATGGGCTAAAACTTTTAAATTTAATAAGATAAGGGGTTTCCCTATAAGATTTTTGCTATTATCAGTTACACCAAAAAACAATTCTACATGGACAAATACGGGAGAAACGGCGTCGCTTAATCTTGCAACTTCTTGTAGCGTGGCATGTTATAATTGGTCAATTGATGCAAAACCAAAGCCAACGACGCACCTGATCATAAAGAAATCCAACAATGGCAAAAAAAAAAAAAAAAAAAAAAAAAAAAAGAAGAAAAGAGAGAAGAAGAAAAAAGAAAGGGAGATTGCTGTTGACTGTAGCTTTGCGATTGTCATTGTAGAGATTGTATGCTATTTGAGGCGTAACACTAAGCCAAGCGATTGAAGAAAATGTGGAAGATGAAAGAGTACGTATCAGGGGGTGAGAGAGAAGAAAGCTTATTGGATCAAGAATCCGATGGCATCTGCTCTCTCTCCCCAATCCAGGTAATCTCTATGATTTCTCTTAATTTTTGCTTTTCTTGTTTTCTCCTTCGATTTTCTCATTGTTTGGACTTCTGGGTCTTTCTGTGGAAGCAGAGAATGTACGCCTTTGCAGCTTGTCTGGGTTCCGGTTTAGTTATTATGTTTCTGGTATGAGCATTTTTTGCTTTCATTTTTTCATTTCTGTGTCTGTCGATTGAAAGAATGTATTTTAATTTAATTTGTCAGTTTTAGCTTGTGAGAAGCTGAGGTAGGCAAGTAGAATTAGCCCAAGACACTTAAGCAAGCTTCAATAGTTTCTTTATTCTATAGTTTTATGCAAAGCTCTCGACTTTAACCTCTATAGGTGAATTCTTGCAAATAATCTGTAAACTCCATTGTGATGCTACATTGTATGAATCTGGGGGGACCTGGGATTTCAAAACCAAGCACTTTGTCCCAGGCTTCTGGCCTGAAAGTGTTTGTGTGGATCCTTCTGTTTCTTGCCATCCAAATAGGATATATGGCAGCTGTCCAAGCATGCTTAAGTATAGTGTTATGCAAAGCCATCCTTCTTAGCTTACTGCAGACCCATGTTGGTAGCGTTGACTAAGTAGTTATTTCAGGAATGCAAGCTCTAATGGATACCTACCTTAAGAAAAATAAGAGCATGAGAAGAAAAGGTGATCCCTGGTTTCAGCCCTTGCCTTTTATAGATAAAACACATCTTGTATAGGTAGTAGATATTCTGCTGCCTTGCTCTTGTTGTAAGCCTATTTAGAATAGCTAGCCAAGCAATAAAACAATGCTTAGGTATAAGATTTGAGAACCATATCAGCTTTCCCCATGGTACCCTGGTTTGTTTGGTTCTTCACTAGTTCAAAGTGTGGCCTTTTTGAAATACACCAGATTGAGATTGCAGCCAGCACATAGAGTCTTCTTGAGCCTGATTAAGATGTCAAGTTCCACAGAGATCAATCTGGATTTGTAGTAGGTCAGGGGTCCTGGCAGGAGGCCAATTCCACTTGTTCCCTCTAACCACTTGTAAAAGCTTTGCCTGAAGAGGGATTGCAGCGGCCCTTGTAATTTTTGAATCACATGCACCAACTAGAGGCCCTTTAGGATTCCAAAATGTCATACCTTAAGATGATATTGATCCCTTCTCCAACCAAATGCTTAACAAGCCTTTGATTGGCGCTTAATAATTTTCCTTCATCTCCATGACACATCCCCTTGTATAGGCACAGACCAGATGCTCTTATTCATAAACATGTAAGCATTTATCCAGGCAACCCAAATGGATCCAGCCTTGGAGAAAAGGATCCAAATAAGCCTCAAAATACATGCCACAATCCAGTCCTTCAATGGTTTAATACCTAAGCCTCCTTCCAGCTTTAGTTGTCAAACATTTTGCCTACTGACTTTTGCCCTACTAGCATCCCTTGCCATACCCTTAATGCACTATACATGCTTTCCACGACTTTAATTGCTCTCTCAGGGATGAGAAAAACACTGCACCAGAAATTACCCCCTTGAAATACTGAGCAATCAATTGCAATCTTCCAGCAAATGAGATATGTTTAGAGGACCATGAGGTGATTCTGCTAGTAAATTTTTATCAGGGCATTAAAGCTGCATCACTTAACCTGATTAAGGGCACCCCAAGATTCCTTACAGGAAGACTTCCAACTCTAAAACCATATGTAGCAGTTTGGAGTTGTACAGTCTGGGGTTGCATTCCTCAACAGAAAATTTCTGTCTTCTGGTAGTTCACTTTCAGATCAGTAGTTAAGTAAAACTCATGCAATTTCTCAAGTCAATTTTAGTGACTGTATGTCTTGGATCATTAGTGGTTAGAGGGAGCTTAATTTGAAAGGAGGACTGAAATCTCTTTTCCTTTTTCTTTTTTTTCTTTTTTTCTTTCTTTCCTGCTTTTCTTCATTTTATAAATCACTAAAAAGTGAAAACATATAATTTGCTGGAGGGATATATGTTTCACCATTTGCATATCAGCTTAGGTAAAATTACAGAGCTTTTGTTGCCCTTATCTCTATTTAGCAAACGACATGCAACCTACACTATGAAGACTCTTGTGAGCTTTTTCTGTATACAATTCTTACAATTGTTGTTTCTTTTGCAGTCATTGATTGTTTTTGCCAAGCCCATAAAGTTTGCATTATTATTCACCTTTGGCAATGTGTTAGCAGTGGGAAGGTAGGTCCAATTGGTTCCTACTCCTAGAAAAAAGATTATACTAATGTGTAACTTCATTTGTTCATCAGAGTACTTATGTTAAAGTTCTGGTTCTGTTAATTAGATTGACCAAAGAAATTTATTACTGTTGCTACTTCCTCCTTACCCTGGTTCTCCAATTTCTAGACAGAATGAATCTTTTGCTAATACTAGATATTGATTTCATTTCCCTGTGTGATGTCTCTTCATAAAGATGGAGCCATAGAATCCACTAGCTTACATCATTTACCAATTCTGATTATTTTCTTATACATGTTGCTATTGGCTTAAATTCCTATATGGGTTCTTTGGATTTTGATGCTGAAGATCAATTTTGTCAACCTTTAATTTATCAGCTTCACATCTGTCAAAATTTGGAAATCTCCAGCTACTCAGTGCAGATTATTTTGTAATCACAAAACATCAATGACTTACTTGGGCAAAAAGAAAAGGGACTTAGAAACTCTTTCAATGGTGTAGACTTTTTTTCTTGGAAGAAGTGCTGCTGATGAATGTTAATTTTCAGATTAATTTATCCTTTCAGATATCGTATCTGATTTGAGCATGGTAGCTGTTTGCATGTCAATATTTCTCACTTTAACATTATGGTATTTTGACAGTACAGCCTTCCTCATGGGACCTGAGCGGCAATTGCGCATGATGCTAGATTCAGTCCGTATTTATGCAACGGCAATTTATGTTGGATTTGTTGTTTTAGCTCTCATTTGTGCTCTCTTGGTAAGTTTGCATTCTCTAATCATCTGTGAGTAGATTAGATAAAAACCAAAGGCTCTTGACAGAAAGAATGTTTGACTTTATAGAAGGTTGGAGAATGTGTATGTGTTTAAGACATGCTAAGTAATAAACTCCTTCATTCTCAATTTATTTTATGATTTGATGGTCATGCAAGCCTAAAGCCTTAGTTAATATGTACTTGTCATCTTGCAGATCCATAGCAAGATTCTTACAATTATTGCTATCATATGTGAGATTTGTGCCCTTTTTTGGTAAGTTTGTCTTTCACATTCATCCATCACAAATTTGACTTACAATTTTGTGAACTCTTTATGCTTGGATTTCATTCCTCTGGAAATATCATTTCATAATCTAAACTTACAAACTTATCCATGTGGCTAGATCCCGGCAGAACCTTACATAATTATCCATTTTTGTTAAGTTTAATTTGCATTCCCTATTTGAACCTGAGCAGGTCCTTAAACTGCTCCATCTCCAGTGAAGACATTAAACAATCCTCCATGGATGTTATGAATGCTTCACCTAAAATGAATAGAACCCTCTTAATTTTTTTTGTTTTTCTTCTCTTTTCCTTTTTCAATTTTTCCCCCATCCCCTACATTTCCCTTTGTTCAATTTATTTTTTGCATTCTCTATGGTTTTACTAGACTAATATTGTTTCACAAATTCCCTTGAGTTGATTCAGGTACTGTCTGAGTTATATCCCATTTGCTAGAAGAATCGTGTCTGAATTAATGGTCCGATTTTGTGACACTGAGCTCTAGCTTAACTCTAAATGGAAACAAAGACTGATCATCTGAGAAATACTCAAACTTGGTATGCAGTTTTGCCTGTGTTTGCTTGTCTCTGAGTCTCAACAATTGCCAGTTTCAGTTGCTTCTTGAGTTAAAAGATCTGATTTTGTGACACTGAGGTGTAACTAATGCGATTGGAAGAATGATAATTTGTATTTCACCATTGATTGTTATGGTTAGAATATCACTCATTTCTTGGTTTCTTAATTAAATTCAATTCATTTGTGTTGTTGCACTCCATACCTTGTGTATCCTTGCCAAGTAATTGCTTTGATCAGAAGTCAATCTGTTTATCCTCCTTTTTTTCATTTTTTCATTTTTTTTTTTTACACGTAGAGGTTAGGAATTAAATCATAGACCTATGGTTAACATCATAGATAACTTTACCACCAGATCACATGGCTGATGGTATGTTTATCTTTTAGTAATAACATCTTTGTCCTTTAAGGCAGTGAAACACTTCTTTCCCTTCAGTGGATACTAGATAGCTAATCTACCTGTGAGATTAGCGATGATTTCTTCTCCTTTGATGCTTATAGTAGTAGGGGCTCTTTATTCACCATCTAAATAATGAATACCATGTAATTCATTTCATGGTGTTTCTTGAGTTCAAGGGATACAAACAATAACACGCATAAGGAAGGATAGATCTTGCCGTAGGACCAAGATACCCTGTTCTGGTCGTAGGAGAACTGGTGTAAGTGGTGAGACATGTAATCTCCTGATAAGAACAACCGAGAAAAATGTTCCTCAGTTGGAAATCTTGAATCCAAGGTTCACAACACACACCCCTTCTTATTGGGTTGACACTGTACAGAACTCAGGCCCAAGTCTGT